CCGACCGACCGGAGGACCCCCCCCCCCCCCCCCCCCCCCCAAAGAGCTGGTGCCGAACCCCAAAAGCCCAAGGTGGCCGCTGTAGCTAACGAGAAACTTGGAGTAGCTAAACGCAACCTCGGCAAAAGGGCATTTATAGTCCGGTCGGAGGTTAGGCGGCGGCGGCACGGGGAGTTTCGCCATGCCCAACATGCTGTAAATGCGATCCCGCGGGTTGTGCGACAGCCGCATCGCACAAAAGCGCTGGAGCATGCGGGATAGCCGGGTCGCAAAGCGTTGGAGATTTCGGTCGGTTTGCTGAATCTGATCGGCTTCCTGAGCGTCCGGGATGTCGTCTTTCAACAACTCCCACTCAAAAACAAACCGAGTCATGAGAGTATTCGACAGGTGTTTGTAGCTAAAGCCTGCCGCCACACCCCTAGGAAGTTTATCGTAATAATTTGGTTGAAGGCACAGGTTGCTGAGTTGAACCCGGAAGGCGTCGAGATGGAAGATATTAACATCCCGAAACCCCAGCAAGACCAATGGGTCAGCGCTTGCTAGCACAACTTCTTGGGTAGTCCATAGCCGCCTAGAGTGTGCCCAGACCGACATGAACAGCTTGTTGGCATGGATAAGAATGGATATGGTCCCCGGGCGCTCAATCGGGAGCGCTTCGACCAAGGTCTTGTCCGGGCCATCCTCGGCCGAATTTAGGTATCCGGCCATACGTCTCTTCGTCCACCTCATTTGTGCAAGGGTGGCAATCCACTCGGCTGTGATAATGTCCTCTTTGTACTCTCGCTCATGTGGCATGGAAATTTGCGGCCATACGATAGATAACCTTCGACGCTTTCGAATAGATGTCGTCCATACGCGGGACCTGCTCGGACCGTTCCGTCAAGGATGATTGGTTGATGCAGATGGCGTCTATCCATAACGACGTGGTGACAGCGAGCCAGGTTTCGCCTGAGCCCTCCTCGGTTGCGCTTGAACCCTCCTTGTGCGGAGACCTGCATACACTCTCCTCACCGCCGAATAATGTAGTGCCAGGGCGTGCGAGGATATGGTGCAGCGCGTTCCATAGATTGAGCGTTACAGGGAACCTTTCGCCGTCGACGAAAATGTCCCGGGTTTTGGCGGCATCGCCCCAAACGTACGAAAGGGCATCGAATTTTGTGGTACCGTCCAGGGGTGCATAGAATAGCTCGACTTCAATCATATTGTCGCGTCCGCCAACCGCACACTGTGCCGGCTTCAGCTTGACCAGGCGGATCTCGTTGCCTTCCAAAGGCTTGTAAGCGATCTTTGTTCCCTAGAAGGACTCCATGGCGTAACTCCAGAAATGGGTCGATCGCGTGGCGTGGGAGCGAGGCTTTTTTTTTTTTTTTGGGGGGGGGAGGCTTGTTTTAGAAAGTGCGAAGGAAAGAAAAAGTCCGAGGGAAAAAAACACGAATCTCAACCTAGGGAGGAAGGTGAGAAGAAGGCAAAGTCTTGACAAGTTGGGCGATTGTGCAGATGTGCAGATTCATGTAGGCAACAAAGTCCCGTGGCCGCCTGGGGTGAGGCAAACCCCCAGCTGACAAGCGACACTACCTCTTGCCATCATGATAGGTCCTGCAATAATGATGTGTCCGAGGCCTAGCACTGTTTAGGCCGCGGAATGAACGTCGCAAAGCACCACTTAGGGTATTTTCTCGATTCGAACAACGGCTGGCAGAGGTTGCAATGCGGCTGTTTTAGTAAACAGGCCTTGGCCCGCGCTTACGTGCCGATAAGGCCTCCGGGGTGCACGGCTATCTGGCCCTGGCTACTCTGTGGCTGGGCCTTTGTGTGGCGCGCCGGTGTCAAGGCATTTTTCCCGAAAAAGTGGTTGGAGGTGGTTGAATCCCAGAGCAACACTTGAGCGGGGGTGAAGCGGGCTTGAGCTGCAGCGGCTAATCCACGTGGGACGCATGTTTTTCGTGGATGACTACCCAAGTAGGCAGCACCGCTCAATGACCAGAGACCCCGCCAGAGGGCGCACCACCACAACCCACACCATGGAGACGATAGACCCGGCGACGGGCCGCCAGCTGCCGGCCGACGCCATCCAGCGCGTGCTCTTCATCGCGCCCGCCGTGCACGTCTACAACATACCGCCCCTGGCCTCCACCAAGGGCTACACGGCCGCGACCTGGACAGAGGACCCCAAGCGCCACATCTTCACCGCCCGCCTGCGCGCCATCGAGACGGCCGTGCCCCAGCCCGGCGGCGCCGAGGACCGCGTCAAGACGGACGTGGTGCTCGAGGACCCGGCCTCGGGCCAGCTCTTCGCCGCCGCCCCCTACACGTCGGCCGCCGTCGTCGAGCCCGCCCTCGACAGCTCGCGCTTCTTCGCCCTGCGCGTCCAGGACGACTCGGGCCGCAGGGCCGTCCTGGGCATCGGCTTCGAGGAGCGGAGCGAGTCCTTCGACTTTGGCGTCGCCCTGCAGGAGGCCCGCCGCGCCCTGGGCCTCGAGCAGGAGCCCCGCCCCGGCCCCGCCGCCGCCGCCGAGGACGCCAAGCCCGAGGTCAAGCGCGACTGGAGCCTGAAGGAGGGCCAGACCATCACGGTCAACCTGAGCAGCACCAAGTTCGGCGGCCGCGCCCGCACCCAGCAGCAGGAGGAGCAGCCCTCGGCCCCGCTCGGCTCCTTTGCCCTGGCACCGCCGCCCTCGGCCGCGCCCAGCGCCGGCGGCTTCTCACTCCCTCCCCCTCCGAGTGCTCCGAGCTCTAGGTCACACGCCAGGACGGCCAGCAACGCCTCACAAAAAAAGGCGGCGGCCGACCTCGGCTTTGACGACGGGCAGTTTGGGGAGTTTGCATGAATGGGGGAATCGAGAAACGGACATAAAAAGTCGCCCTGTCGAAATAGCACACAAAGATGTGTCACGAGTACATTGGGCTCTGCGGCTGCATTTATGCTCGCCTATACCCAAATATATTCGCTTCTAGGATCACTTGCCTGAGCTCTCCCTCCATCCGAGGTTCACTAACGCGCCCTAACCCCTCCTGACCCCAATCCCCAATTGGTTGGCCGCCTAGCCCGCACCCGTAGCCATCTCCCATAGTGGTCGGGCTTCTCCGTGCCAGACAGATTTAAGGGACGGGAGGCTCATGCGTTTGTCTCGCGGCTTGGGACAGTAGTACAGACTAAAGGTGTCCATCGATACGCTGCGACCTCCGCACCTGCGCCCGCTCCAGATGCGCAAAAAGGGGCTGCTTGGACGTTTGATGCAAGTGTCCAAACCCGAGAGTCGGTTCTTGTGATGGCGGCGACTGCCTTGTCCTCTTTCGCCGTCGCGCCCTTTTTCGTCGCATGTCATCACGGCATCCTGGCAGATGGGTTTTTCTGACCTCGCCTGGTCGTCTTGCCGTTGAACGCCTGCTCGACACAGGGGATCAATGCCCTCCCGCACCTGTTCCCCTTCCGCTGATTTGAAATCCCCCAGGCCGCCGCGCTCCCAAGAACTGACCGCGGAGAACTTCACTCTAGGCTCAAAGACGGGTGATAAGGGGCTCAGAAGCGGGGCCTCGGGCGGACATGCCACACTCGGAACAAGCGGCGCCTGGGCCGCCTCCTCCGCCTGAACCCACCGCCCGGGAGCCGCCCGCGGGCCCGCGCCCCCGTGGCCCCTCCACAGCGGCGCGTCGGACTCGGCCGCGCAGCCGGCGCCGGCGCCCCAGAAGGGCTGGCTGTACACCACAGGCAACACCGGAGCCACCATGACCCGCTGCCGTTGTTGCTGCCGTTGTTGCTGCCGTTGTTGCTGCTGTTGCTGCTGTTGCTGCTGCTGCTCGACGTGGAGGTCGCCGAGCCGCAGGAGGATCAGGCGCCCCTGCTGTTCCGCCTCGGCGAGCCTGCGCCGCAGCAGCGCAGCCTCCTTGCGCAGCCTGCGACGGTCGGACCCGCGCCCCTCGCCTCCGCCGCCGCCGCCGCCGCCGCCGCTGCCGGGGTCCTCGGCGGCGGGGGCGGCGGGAGCGGCCGGCTGTATGGCGAGGAGGCGCTCCTCGACCTGCCGCAGGCTCTGGAACAGCCCCATGGCGCGGTCGTCCTGCCGCCTGAGCGCGCACGCGAGGTACGCCTGCTCGGGGTGCTGGTGCTGCTGCTGCTGCTGCTGCTGTCCGAGGTGGGACGACGACAACGACGAGAGCCCGTGGAGGGCATACGTGACTGCCGGCAGCGGCGGCGGCGGTGGCGGGGCGAAAGGGGGAGGAAGTGTCGGGTCGACGGGGCGGGGGTTGGATGGGCGGGCCTGAGAGGAGCCATCCTTGGGAGGAGGGGTTTGGCGTCCCGGCGCCCGTGAGGGAAGTGACCCCGCGGGCTGGGCGCCTTTGTTGGTAGCCATGATGGGATGTGGTATCGCGGTCGAGTTTATTACTGGGTGCTGGGTGGTTTCGCTGGTGTGCCGCGAGGGCTGCTGGTCGCTGTGGGCAAGGGCGGGGAGACGAGAGCACAATATGCTGGCCTTGCAGATCGATCGGGGGAAGAGGCGAGGGGCGGGTTTGTATCTGGGGCGCTCACCCGTTATGTTGATATATTAGACACATCGATGAAAGGGAGCGGGTGGGGATATCCATCCATGGAGCTTATGGGCAAAGAGCCGAGGAGGTGGTTTGGCCGGACTCGGCCGCGGTGCTCCGAGGCACTAGCTCGTTCGCCACCGAATGTCTTAATGTCGCGACGGACAAAGAAAAGCGGAAGGAAATAGAAGCACAGGAAATTTCAAGCAAATTTGCCAATATGACCAGAGGTGACATTATACGCCGGTACCGTAAACGCCCCATATCCCTTTCTAATCCGACCCTTTGGCGTGCGATATCACGCCCAAGACATCTGTGTCCCGATCCGGGCGAACTTGTCCTATGCAGTTCGTTTAACCATTATGCTCCAAATAGCCTCGTACAGCGCCCGCAAGCAGGATTTCTCCCTTGCTGGTCAGGGACAAAGCACCATTCCTACCAAACAGACACTCGCAGTGAGACAAGATGAGAACGCAATACTTTGAACATGCTCATCGGGCCACTGCTCAACATGCCCTCGGCGTCAGTCTGATTGGCCCCAGAGCAAACTATGAGTTTCGCACCGATTGCCAGTATTATCTGCCATCTTGTGGTCGACGCTTGCGATATATGGTGCCCTTTGTGGCACTGCATCATCCCAAGGAATGCCAACTGAATCCCTGATACAGTGAGTAAAAGCTCATTTATCCTGCAAACATCCAACGCCGTTTATCAACCCCAGAGCCTGAAAATCTGTCTACTAATAAGGGCCAAAGAATCATTGGTACCCAAAAATAGCGAACAAAGGTATGTAGCCGAACAACACATAGCGCCGATAATCCCATCAGTTCTCGGCCACTGGCTCCGATTCCGTGATAAATGTTGCCTCGCAGAAAACAACACCTGTTTCCGTTATTTCGGGTTCATCTCCAATCTTGAGTTTTAGGCTCAGGGGCGTCTTGCGTGGCAAGTACTATGGTGGAGGTCAGCACAAATAATACACTAATTACCGCGCCCTTTGGGGCATGCATGGCGCACGGAGCAGTCCCGAGACTTCTAGCGTGGGAGCCTGACTTACCTGGTAGATGTATGGCTTGGTTCCGACGGCGGCGCCAACAAACTTCTTGACGAACCCAGGGACCTCGGCCATGACGTCGATACGGTCCAGGCGGTCCTCGTAATCGCCCTCGAGAACAGCCTCGACAGGCTTCTGGTCTTTACCGACCCCGGACCACGTGAGTTTGACCTTTGCCGGCTCCTTCCAGTCATTCTCCGAGTCGCCCTTAGTCGTGACGTGCTCGGCGTGGCTGGAGCAGCCCGCGACCACGATGTCGCCGTTGCGCGCGATGCCGCCAACGCTAACCGTAGTGCAGCCGTACGAAGGCGGCGTCGTGTACTCCATCAGGACGGCCGAGTGGCTCTTGCCATGAAAGCTCGCAAAGTTCCAGCCGGCGGCGGCGTGGTGCGGCTTCATGCCCTGGAGAGCGTGGATAAAAAGGCCAAGCCCCTTCATGTCTATAGGCCCGTCGGCCGTAGTGATGGTACCTTCAACCTCGCATCTGGGCCAGAAGGCGTGGCGCATGCTACCCCAGGGATTGGCGAGGTCGGTTCCGAACAGGGTGTTGCCCGTCTTGCCGGCGTGGAAGCCCGGGGCCGACCTTGTCACCTTGAGGTTGACGATGGCGCGCTCGTCCGTCATCGACTTGATGATGTAGCAGTCGCCCTCCTCGGACAGCTCGAGGGCGCAGTCGTTCGCAAAGAAGCCCGTCATGTCCTCGCTGAAGAAGTGCTCGCTTAGGGGCGTCGAGCACCACAGGTGAGGCTCGGTGCCGTCTAGGTTGAAGACCTTGGTGTTGAACTGGCATGTAGTGCGGATGCCGCTGGATTTAACGGGTCAGCAGGGCAGAAGCAAGGTATGTCGGCACCAGCCAGCCCGACGGACAGGCAGAAGGCGCTGTGAGGAGGGTCCTTACGCAACGTTGCTATAGATTACTTGGCAGAACGCAAGCTGGCCACTGTCTGCGACCAGGTAGAAACTCTGCGTCTCAACGCAGGTCGACTCCATGGCCTTCCATTTCAGGTCTTCACGTGTAAGCTCCGTGTAAGGCGTGGTCTTGGCCTCCTCGGCAACCGACTTTATCGCACTCGGCCCATAGATGGGCTCCTGAGTGCCGGCAACGTTGGCCAGTCTGAGCGATAGGGGCGCGTGTCAGCTCAGGGCCTTGGACGGCCGTTGTTTGGGTCGGCGGACATCGATACGTGGGATGGCATGCCGGTTGTGGCGAGCTCGGGCGAGGAGTGCTGCTTACTGTTGCTTGGCCCAGTTGAACATGTTGAGTTGTTGAGTGTGTGTACGTTCTATTCGGCGACAGTCTCTGGTACTGCCAAAGTCTTAGAAAATTTGAAGAGACCATAGCATCGACATATGCGACGCCGTATGCTGTCGAGGGACACCAGCCCGTTCTTGGGCAGCGGGTGTAGATACAACTTACCTGCGGGGTTTCAACGGAGACAATAGCCCGACCTTGATTATCTCCCTGCAACAATGCCAAAAGCACACGGCGCAGCACAGAGTTTCTCGCAAAAGAAGGCGACGTCTTCTGTGCCCGGCGGTGGGGGATATGAGGGACGAGGGTGAGGCTAGAGACGGTCGAAAGTGATGGATGGTCTTGGGCCGAATTTCTGGAGCTCACCGCTTTCCCCGTTACAACGCAACAGGTACGTACCGGTTCCTGTCGGAGTTGGGAACGTTGGGCGGCGGCAGAGGTCACCCGATGGCGAAGGGTTCCACCTGCAAGCTGAATGTGTGGTTATCGGCTCCCCTGTGGCTTGGTGGACGTCACTGCTACCCAGCTGCTGCAAGGCCCCAGCACACCGGACGCGTCGCTGCAGGGCTGCAAATTGAGTGGAGGGATCCCCAGATCACACATGGCCCAAGCCGCTGACAAGGTTGGCACAGATCCCGGCACTCGCGAACCGCCTCTGTGGGCTGGGTGTGGCTGATGAGACGGTTTTTTTTTTCTGCTGCTTTTTCTGTGGCTGTCCGCTCAGACAACCGATTGCCCCACAGCCGCAAACTCAAGCCACTACAACCGACCCAGCAGTAGCAACGGCGACCCCGACCAAGTCGCTGGCACCGGTACCTTGGCCGAATTCGGCGGTATTCCCTTCAGCTAACCCGGCTACACCCCAGACTCGGCGGCTGGGCGCAATGTCGAAGGCGCGCGCCACCGGTGCGGTGGATCAGATCGTCAAGCTCATCGTCGGGGCTGGCCAGGCGAGTCCGCAGCCACCAGTTGGTCCTGCGCTTGGAAGCAAGGGAGTGAAATCTATGGACTTTTGCAAGGTACGCCGTGCCGAGGCATTGCACCATGTCGGCAGGGACATGAGCTGTGTGCGCTCCCGGACCACGCAGTGATCCAGACGGCTAACGGACTCGCGTCGTCGGAAACCAAACTCTGTAGGAGTTCAATGCCAGGACAGCACATATAGTCACCGGCACCCCGACGCCGGTCATGATCACAGTCCGCCCCGACCGGACATTTCACTTTGACGTGCGCACGCCACAGACGTCTTGGCTGCTGCTCAACGCCGCGCAGGTGCCGGCGGGCAAGAAGGGAAGGAGAAAAGGAGCCAGCAATCCGGGCAAGGAGGTTGTCGGAACCGTATCGCTGAAGCACGTCTATGAGATTGCCAAGATCAAGCAGTCTGAACTCCGACTTTCTGGCTTGCCGTTGGAAGGCCTATGTAGGTCGATCATCTACCAGGCGAAATCGGTCGGGATAGACGTTGTGGCATAGCCGCGGCGCGCTCGCTGATGGGTGATGCTTCAATCATGGGCCAGGGCGTATCGACATACGCCTTGTGGGCAAACGCGATTGTACTACAGTGCACTTTTTGCCATCGACGATTTGAAAGAAACAATAGAAAAAAACGAACAAAGGAACCCCTCTTACTTGTCCGCTTTACCATACGACAGAGACGTGGCTACTTTGATTCCAATCCAGGAATACTGCCTTTTTTTTTTTTTTCAGCGGCAGCAGTCTCTCTACCTATCAGCCCAAGTGACTTACACGCCGACACCGGCCGGGGATGTACCAGGTTATGGAGCCTACCCCCCGATTTGAACCTGGCTTTGCCCAGCGGCTCGTGTCCCAACGAACCGCGGCCGTCGATTCCGGACAGTAGCGTGTTCGATCATGGTTGCATTTATCGGGGACACAACCCTTCGGGCCTTTTCCTGCCCCTCCTCGCCTGACAGAAACACCCAATCCCAACGCAAGACTGCTTGCATGAAGCCGAGCGACACCCCGCGCCAGGCACAGATGGGCTTGTACAACAGTTTGACGTAATAGACACAGCAGAGGGACTTGCGTGCAAGTAATCATGGCTTACGGGTTGCATATGAACAGGTGCCGGCCGGCCGTGTGTGGCTACTAGAGGCTGGCGTGCATGTTAGACGTCATCAGAAGATGAGCCCACGAGTTTTTGGGCTAAGGTTACATGTGCATAAGGTGGGATTGCTGCGTGCGCGCATGTTCACACCAGCCTTCCTAGCCAGCCGCATATCAAGGTTCAGGGCTCCGGATGCAGTCCTGTTAGCTCCCTACCTACCGGTACCCAGGGAGGTGCCCGGAGCAGGCTCTGCACGGGCGCCATTTCCCTTGGCCGGTCCCAAACCACTTCGCAATAGCGGCCTAGCAGGGTCAACCGGCAGGAGGTTGAGACCATCGGATGTAATACCTATGAGGTCGTGGTTTGACGATGGCCGAGGTTGTAATCTGGATACAAGACAAACACGCAACGCCAACGCACGCGCTACCATGCAGGACGAAGAGTGGGGGTTTCCATCTCAAAGAATCCGACCCTTGACCCCTGGCCAGATAACGCAACAGGCAAACCCCGCGCCCGCCGACGGTTGGCTTCACTGACACCTTGTGGCAGCCGGGGCAACGATGATCCGATGGGCGGACGGGAATGTAGCCTGGCGCGCTGCGAGTGAGGATTTGGGTGGACACTCTTCTGATGTTTGTTTGTATCGACGGGAGGTAAATACCTTGGTACAGATACTTGGTATCGCATACATTGCCCAGACGGGGCGGTTGTAATGTTCGATTGCGTAACCCCTCACACCGCAACCCAACGGTTGTCAAATTGGCGACGCGTGGCGAGTTTAAAAATGGCACAGAATTCTTCGAGAAACCGAGAAACACTGTCGGTCGGCAAGCCGTGCGGACAGCCCGATTCAGCTTGTCTCTGGCGCAGTCGCACGTCTCAGCAGGCCTGGAACGGATCGAGACAGGGGCGCATGACCCCGGGCGCAGTATCAGATCGAAATTTGGAAGCTGGTGGCCAGCAGAGCACCGTCCATCGAGAGGGCCGGTGGCCAATAGCCATGTTCAGCCCTGGAGAGAAAGGTGCGAGGGCGCAGATAGCCCGGCCTTTTCCTGGGTCATTGCAGCCCCAAGACGGGTACTGTAAACGTGCAAACAAGGGAGCATAGCTGATGGGGCTGCGGCTATCCTCCCTCGGGGTTACCTAAGCCGGCCATGGCAGCCTACGTGGACCAGGCCAATTCTCAGCCCCACCACCGAGACTGCTGCCTTCCTGGCGCTGGTTCTCTGCTGCTGCGCGGGACGGCCTGCCCGTCTGGTGTGAGTGGGCGGGCAGTGGGCTGGAGCTTGGCCCTTGACTTGTTCCCAAGCCGAAGTGCGGTCATTACTCACTGTCAAGCTCTTCCAAGTATTTTTCCTCGCCTGTTCCTGTTCCGTTTCCGAAACACCCGCCTCCTTTCGCCCTGATCGGGCATTCTTTTCTCTCTGCTTGCCCTCGTCTGGGCGCAGCCTTACCCGAAATCGTTACAACGTCGCAACCTCCGCTCAACATGGCGAGCCTCCCTGGCGCCAATCCCTCCGGCCCATCCGCGGGCGCTGGCTCAGGTATGATACCGCAAGGCCCTCCTTCCCCTGCCACCTCCCCACTCTGGTCCTTTGGCTCTGGTCTCGATCTTGGGCCTCACCACATCTCACATGGCCGTCCTCGGCCGATGCGCTCGAATCCCTTGCTCACGCTTCCTCACCCGCCCGCAACATCAGAGCCTAGTGATGCGCAGCTTTCCCCAGAGTCCCAAGCACCACCAGAAGAGACCCCGGCGCAGGCCGTGCGTTTTCGATCTGTCGTCGAGGAAATCGGCCCTCAGCTACCCGCCGCCGAGAACCCAGCTGGGGCGACTGCTTTCTCTGCCGAGCCCGTAGCGAGTGCAGCGAAAGCGCTAGGCGATCCCGCCGAGGTCACTCCCACCCAGCTCAGCGCCCTTGCTCAGTCGCTGCAGGGCTCCCACCTCCACGACCGCCGCATGAACATATTTTCTTTCCAGCCAGTTTCGTTGCCAGCCTCGAGGGTCCGTCGCTCTCCTTCCCCCAATCCTATCTCCTGTTTCTCTCTGTGGCCTGGTGCGCCGAGCCCGCCCCTAGGCAGGCAAACAGGGAAGCAGCCCAAGCAGGGCACTGGCGGCGCCCTGACCGACAGACGGATCGTGCTGACATGGACGAATCCTCCCCTTCCAGACTGTTTCCCATGACGACGAATCGAGAATCGCCAGCCGACAGAACACCCGCAGCACTGCAGGACCGCCCCAATCTCCCCTGCCGAGTCCAAGGGCCCCCGAAATGCAGTCCCCTCCCCTCACGCCCGCCGCCACCGGCCAGACGGACGCCGAGGCCAGGCGGCAAAAGGAGCCCAAGTCCTCAAGCCGACACGACCTCATCACACCTCAAGACTCGACCCAGGAGTCCTCTCCTCCCGCCTCTGCCCACCCGAGCCTGCGCCCCGAGCCACAATCGTCCACCGAAGATATCCCCCGGCGCCCACGGTCGTCACAAGAGAAGGAAGCCCCGAGCAGGGTCGGCGGGCATCGCAAGGGCATGTTCTCCGCCGGGCCTGGGAGCCTCCCGGCCTCGAGGGAGTCAAGCCCCTCTCGTCTTGCGGCCTCGCAGCTGTATTCCCGCCCTTTCACTCCCGACGGCGACGCAAACGACCCCTACGCGGCCCATAGGCGGCCCCAGCAGAAAAACATTGAGCCGCGCTTCCAATTCTCCCTCAGCAAGAAGAAGCTGGGGTCCACGGCATCCTCCTCCGCAAGTCTCCGAGGCTCTCCGGACAAGCGCAGCTCCGGCTTCTTTGGCAGCAAGAACACCGACCTCCACCGAGAACCTAGTTCTGCACCGACAATCAACAGCAGACCGGGCTCGATGGCAGACCTCAAGCGCTTCTTCAAAGTGGGCCAGAACAAGGTCCAGCGCTCTACGTCACCATCGCCCTCGGTCAAGTCCACCAACAGGGTCGCCTCAGCTTCCAGGTCGCCTGCGCAGGTCCCGTTTGGCAGCGACCATGGCCTCTCATCCAAATATGGGAAGCTCGGCAAGGTTCTCGGGTCGGGCGCCGGCGGATCGGTCAGACTAATGAGGCGGGGGGAGGACAACACGGTGTTCGCGGTCAAGGAATTCCGCCCGCGCCACACGTACGAGACGGAGAAGGAGTACGTCAAGAAACTAACGGCCGAATACTGCATCGGCTCGTCGCTTCACCACGGAAACATCATCGAGACGCTCGATATAGTCCAGGAGAAGGGCAAGTGGTATGAGGTGATGGAGTACGCGCCGTACGACCTTTTCGCCATTGTCATGACTGGCAAGATGTCGCGCGAAGAGGTCACCTGCTCGTTCCTCCAGATTCTGAGCGGCGTCACGTACCTGCACAGCATGGGGCTTTCGCACCGCGATCTCAAGCTCGACAACGTGGTTGTCAGTGAGCACGGCATCATGAAGATCATCGACTTTGGCAGCGCCCACGTATTCAAATATCCCTTCGAGAATGGGATCAATCTCGCCAAAGGTAAGCACATTGTATGCGTAACCCCGCGCCCAAGCGGTCAGCAAATGTTACTCGAGCTAGAACGAACGCTGATTCTCTGCCTCCGGCTCTAGGCATCGTCGGCTCCGATCCGTACCTAGCACCCGAGGTCTACGATGAACGGAGGTACGACCCTGCAGCGGTCGATATCTGGTCATTGGCTATCATATACTGCTGTATGACGCTCCGTCGATTCCCGTGGAAACTGCCGCGGATGACGGACAACTCCTTCAAGCTCTTCGCGACCGATCCAACCCCGGGCCATGACCCAAAGAAACTGGTGCTCCCGGCCGCAAAGTCCACGACGGATCTGAGCGATACCCCGCACAGAGACATTTTCGTCCAGGGCGAAAACAACAAGACCGCAGTTGACAGGGCGGCAAACCAGCCCTCGCCAGCACAACAGCAGCCACAGCAAGGGCAGGGCGATGGGGCGGCGCCAGAGAGGCGGGAGATCATCAGGGGCCCCTGGAGGATACTGCGGCTACTTCCCCGAGAGAGCCGCCACGTGGTCAGTCGCATGTTGGCGCTCGACCCCAAGGAGCGAGCCAAGATGTCCGAGATTATTGAGGACCCGTGGGTGGCAAACACCATCATTTGCCGACAGGACGGGCCGGGCCAGGTTGTTTCGGCTGAGGACCACACTCACGTCTTGGAACCACCCAGTATCCCTTCCACAGCGCCGAAATAGGAGAGGGATGCCGTGGGAGGGCTTGCGCAGGACAGCCTCTACTCCTCCAAACACCTGTGGCACAGGACGCCGCCGTTTCTCGGAAGCAAGCCACGCCCTTCGATCGTGTCGTTTCTGTGGACGCATAAGGCATGATGGCTGCGGTGGGAGGCATGCTAGGTGGTAGGGTATGCGTTGACCCACAGACCGAAGATTTTAATATTCCGCGCTCTTTTTCCTTGCGCCGAGCCATAGGCCCAGATCAGCGATGGCGGTGCGCATCAATTTGCCGCTGATCCAAAGGGAGCTCCTCGACCTTTGATCGAAGATGAGCCATCCCCCGTCATGGCTGAGAATCAGCGATTAATGTTTTAGCGTTTGGTGTAGGAAAGGGATGGATGGTGTGTTTGATTATTCTTTCCTCTTTTTCTCCTTTTTTTTTCAGTCTCTCGACTTACTTTTATTAGGCTGATCGGCTCAGGGGCATTAGAATCGTCGCCATAAAACACGGTACTGAGTTGGATACCCTCTTATGGGACCTCCCAGGCATTAATTGCCACGGTTAAATGATGCTTATTTAGATGATTGTTGAGTCAAGTCTTGCATTTTTTTTCTTTCTCCCTGCGCCTTTCTTATCCTCGTTTGGCTTGAGACGAAGAGGATCGGGAAGGTGAACTTCTCCCTAGTTCACATGTGGACTTTAGACTTGGGCTTGGGGAAGTAGAAATCACCCAGCTAGCTTCAAGCGGCAACCAGGGTGAAACCTGAGACTTGCAAACCACTCGAACAACTCTTTTCTGTCCCAAATCTGGTCAGGCATCTGTATGTCCTAGACTGCAGCTGTCATTGGTATTAATGTGTGTCAGCGGATTGGTTTCAAAACTAACTGGAGCAGCATGCTGAGAGAATAGGGTTGTCGGGTTAGGGTTAAAGACTCCTGACCCCGGCACAGCTCGGCTGACGGAATTGACGCCCGGACCACCGAATTTGCAGAAAAAAAGTTCGCGTTCCGAGTTTCTGGAAGCTTCAGAGCCCCATCGGCCTCATCAGGAAGAGCTACCCCCCAGTCTATAATTCTCGCTACGTTTTGAGCGCTCTTCCTCCCACCTTGACCACCAACTCATCCGTCCTGCTCTCGTTCTCCCACCCCCAAACCTCCGTCTTGAGTTTGTGTATCTTGGACAGTCGACTCTTTACCACAATGGTATGTCTTGTTTCTGCATGGAGCTTGGACTCCTTAGTAGGGGCGTTGCTCTTGGGATATGCCTCCAATCTGCCCCAGAAGCTCGGGGAACCGACCTCCAGCTGATCGAGGCTCAATGACTGACACGGAGCCATCCAAACCCGCCGCAGGCCACCTCTCTCCGCTCCGTCAGGTCCCTAGTGCCGCTCCTGGACCGCGTGCTCGTCCAGCGTGTCAAGGCCGAGGCCAAGACGGCCAGCGGCATCTTCCTGCCCGAGTCCAGCGTCGAGAAGCTCAACGAGGCCAAGGTCCTCGCCGTCGGCCCCGGCGGCCTGGATAAGGACGGCAAGCGTACCCCTATGGGCGTCGCTGCCGGCGACCGCGTCCTCATCCCCCAATACGGCGGCTCTCCCGTCAAGGTCGGCGAGGAGGAGTTCCATCTCTTCAGAGACAGCGAGTAAGCTGCTTCCCGCCCCGTCCGCGCGCGCGCGCGCCTTCTGGTTCTGCTCTGCTAACCGGCTTGTCCCCACCCGAAAAAGGATCCTGGCCAAGATCAACGAGTAAAGCACAGGCAAACCGGCCGGCGCATATATCAAGATACCCATGAAACCATGAACGACTGTACTATATGACTGTACTAAGGACAAAACTCGATAAATCGACTTCTCCCGAACCAAAGGACGGACATCAAAGCGCCCTGAACGGAATTCCTTTGTCGAGCGGGAAACGGCATCTCTCGCGCTGCTAATGTGCTTCGCAAACTAGTAAGGGTACATATCCCTTGAAACGTAGAATCGAGGCATCTGAGCTGTGATTTTGAGAGCAAGAAAAAAAATCAACTCCACTTTCCATTCCTTGTGCCTAGCCCCTTTTCTGTTCGTTTCCCAAGGTTGTCGTACCGCCCGCTCCGTCGAGTATTTCCCCGCCGCATTTGTCAGTCGCACAGCGCCGCAGCTGCCACCCCTGGCGGGTTCGCGGCCATGGAAGAGTGGTGATGACTGGTCCCATCTTGGTTTGGGCTTGCTGCTGTGTTGAGGGATCAAACAACGCGCAAGTCGCCCACATCCCACTCGACGGGCCAACAATCCACAGGCGAGGTGTCGCGAACCTGTGCTCTGCACTGTTTCAGCCCCCCACCCTCACGACAACAACGGGCGCGGGTGTGTGTCTACGCCGGACGTTGGCCCTGACGACTCGTCCCTTGTGGCCCGCCAGCTCCCGAGCGGCTGCTGCACCTAGCCGTGGGCGTGACCCAGCTTCCGCAGCCTTCTTTCAGCCTCCAATGGCCTAGTCAGGCACCCGGACGGCCCTGCATGGGCTGCGGCAGCCACCTCTTGCATCCCGACGACGGTGTAAGCGCATACGAGCTTCTCGGGGACTACAGAGCGGACTCGTGCCAGCCGCTGCCGTCACTGGGGGGGTGGATGTCTGCACGGCTTATGCGCCCTCGCTGCCAAGATGGCTCTTGTGGCGAGCCCCTCGGGTTGGATTAGAAATGAGCTGGCTGCGGTGCGGCGCGCCACCGAGCGGGCGACCTCTCGAGGGAGCGGGCGGGAGGGGTCGACAACGCTCGGGCATCATCACCGCGGCGTTCCCTGATCTGTTGGTTGGATTGTTTTTTTTGCTCCCCGACTAGGGGTCGCACCATCAAGGCCGTGTCCGCCAGCTAAGCGCTTCGGCCACGCCCTAGAGCGCTCCCATCTCATATACCGCCCAACCGCGCTACCGCATAGCAGCTGGCGTGCGCCTCTGCTGTGCAGGAAGCCGCTTTGACGGCGGATCAGGGCTGAGCACGGCTGGCTGGCTGGCTGGCTGGCTGGCTGGCTGGCTGGCATGAGGTTTCCATTTTCGATTGCCTCCCAGCGGCCAGCGCTCTCGATCCCCGCCCCCCATCCCGACCAAGCACGCCGCCTCGTAGAGGGTGTGCCAGACACCCGACTGGCTGGCCGGTCTGCTCGCCGCCGCCTTCCCTGGGCGCTATCGCGAGGTTGGACGTGGCCGAGAGTCAGTGCATGCCTTGCCTCGCTGTGCGCGCTCACCGTCGGCCGCTGCGGCTGTTCCAGGGCCAGAGGGATGTTCTGCTCGCCCTGTTCGTTGCTCGCGTCTTGGCATCGCATCATCCTGAGCTGTCTAGATACCCAATGGGGAGCGATCCGGCAGCGCGCTCTGCGAGGGAAATCCATGCGTGAAAGTGTTGGAGGCTGTGGACGATGGGCCGAGGAGGCGTTCCCCAGTCCTGTTGGTATAAAGACCAGTCTCGGTCTTGGTTCATCCGGGCTGGCTGAAGAGGTTTGCCCAACCCAACCCTCACCGGTACTCGTTCCAGTCGCCCTGCACGCGCGCCATTCTCTCCTTGATCTCAAGAGTCCGGTATTCTTTCATTTCTCCAGAGCCCTCGCCTCCTCCGCTAGCCTCCTCCCTTGGTTTTGGATCACAGACCTGTCATTCCCCTCGGTTCATTTCAACTGGCGAGCCAGTGGCGTCACGTCAGGCCCGCGCCCCTCGTCGGAAGGATCCTGCGTCTTGCCCAACGGCTTTCCTGGCCTTTCTAGACTCCTTGGCCCGTGGCCAGGTATAGAAAAAGGGCCTGCCCCCTCGTCTCTGGATCGTTTTCTGTCCAGGGTTTCCATCTTTCCAACGCACTCTTTCAGCAACATTCACTTCATCATACACGCACTGAGCTGTGCTTCGTCGTTCTTTTCAAAAACAGAAACAAGACTTTCTTTTCGGTTGTCCTCACCATCAGCCTTTTTCCTTTCACCGAGCAGAAATCATGAGGACGCACGCCACCACGACACTCGGCCTCGTGGCCGCCTTCGCGACGGCGGCCAACGCGCACAGCGTCTTCACCACGCTCTTCGTCAACGGCGCCGACCAGGGCGATGGCACGTGTGTCCGGATGCCCAAGGACGGCAGCACGGCAACAAACCCCATCGCCAGCATCACGGGCAACGACATGGCCTGCGGGCGGGACGGGCAGAACGCCGTAAAGTACACGTGCCCTGTGCCGGGCGGCAGCAAGCTGGCCTTCGAGTGGCGCCTGTACCCGGACTACTCGCAGCCGGGCAGCATTGACAAGTCGCACAAGGGCCCCTGCGCCGTCTACCTCAAGCAGGTGGCCGACATGAACTCGGCGGCCGCGGCCGGGCCCGGCTGGTTCAAGATTTGGCACGAGGGCTACGACGAGACGACCAAGCAGTGGTGCACCGAGAAACTCATGGCCAACAACGGCCTGCTGTCGGTGCAGCTGCCCTCGGGCCTGCCCGGCGGCTACTACCTGGTCCGCCCGGAGCTGCTGGCCCTGCACGAGGCCGACAAGGGCGACCCGCAGTTCTACACGGGCTGCGCGCAGATCCTCGTCGACGGGTCCGCGGGCACCCTCGACGTGCCGGCGAAGAACCAGTGCAGCATCCCGGGCCACGTCCAGCCGGGCGAGAAGTCGGTCAGCTTCAACATCTACGGTCAGCCGATGGCGCTGCCCTACCCGATCCCCGGCCCGGAGCCCTACGTGCCGACGGGGGCGGCCGGCGGCGGCGGCGGCGGCAAGCAGGCCCCGGGCGCGGAGCCGCCCAAAAACCG